TAGCCTTAGAAATGAGGCGCAGCTGATTAGAACTAAACCTCACAACAGCAGACACTTGCTTGTCAAATTTAAACGAGCCATCCAGTAATATGCCCAAATTACTGGCATAATCAGAAGGGGAGCTAGCAAAAGGCATCAGAGCAGCACACAATTGGTCGCGGGGGATTTTACTATCGAACAGCACGATCTCCGTTTTCTTTTCGTTCAGGACAAGAGAATTACTCTTGAACCAATCTTTAACCTCACGCATGCATTCGCGAAAATAGAGAAAAGACATAGCAAGATCGTCAGTAATCTCAAAATAAATCTGTATATCATCAGCATAGCAATGAAAGGCAATATTATACGTCTCAAAAATTGCTCCAAGAGGGAGCAGATGTAGTGAGAAGAGAACAGGGCCTAATACAGATCCTTGAGGCACACCACAGCGTACAGGTACCGAGGAAGATGAGAAGTTGCCCAAATTAACCGAGAAAGACCTGTCAGCAAGATAAGACTTAAACCAGTTGAGGGCAGTGCCTCTTATACCCACAGTATGCTCAAGTCTTATGTGAGTTTCTGTCCGTTTCACTTCTTTAACTCTGCACATCTTCATCTCTGTTAATGTGTCTCTGTGTGCGTCTGTCAGAGTGTGATGAACATGATGCACGTCATCAGTATTCCCTACGCCCTCATGAAGGTCAACCCGCTGTCCTGGATCCAAAAAGTCTGCCAGTACAAAGGTGACATAACGTATCTGACGTGTCTCCTTCTGTTTGAAATGACAAATTCAGTCATTTAACAGCAGCAATTTGAACCGGCGATGTTTTATTTCCAGCTAAGGTGGCCTGTGTGAAGTCGCGGGACATGCACTGGGCTCTGGTGGCCCACCGGGATCAGCGGGATGTCAATCTGAGCTCCCTGCGGATGCTTGTGGTGGCTGATGGTTCAAATCCCTGTAAGCTAACAGTCTTTTTAATATATGTTTAAAGTGTCTCCTTTACCTGCTAAATATCCAACTCATGTTTATTTGTACACTGATAATGTTTAGTGATTTAAGATTGCTTTTTTAGGAGTTGTTAGCTTCACTGTTAGTGTCAAAGGTCAAAGTTGACCTTCAGAAGAAATATCTAGAAGCCATATCAAACAAAAGGGCATCAAAAACATCATAAAACATCAAAGTTAGTGTCGGCCTTACCCTGTGTTCTCTGAGTGCTCTTATTCCAGATATGTTTTAGTGGGTTCAGATCAGATGACTGATGAGCTGAAGAGGCGTTTCTCCTCAAACATCGCTGCTGGATTGTTCGTGTACTCACACCTGCAGGGTCCTGTTTAAGTGTTCAGTGTATCCAAGTTACCTGAAAAACATTTCTTTATTTAGATCCTTTTCAAAAAAGTTAACAGGAGATGCGTAAAAGATTACATGTGGAGCTGTGACTGGTTTATTTTATTGGTTAGTTTCTAAAAGCTTGGAAATGAAGAAGTAATCATTAAAAGTAGCAATGAGCCGCCTCTGCTTTCGTAAAAAGCCTTTAAGCGTTCGATTGTCTCTCAGGGTCGATCTCGTCTTGTGACGCCTTCCTCAACGTCTTCCAGACGAAAGGTTTGAAGCCGGAGGTCATCTGCCCGTGTGCCAGCTCCCCCGAGGCGCTGACTGTGGCTATACGCAGGTACACTCACAAACACACTGTATTCAGCTGTATTCACCACAAGACACACAGATATAATTAGTACAAATTTATTTGCTTTCTAGCATTTAAAGACAAACTTTTAGCGAGTTATTTCTACTTTATAATGGCTTTAACCTCCTTCCGCTGTTTTTTACTATTTTATGACCTTAAATTTACAGTTTCATAGGTTTTAAAACACTAAACTTACACTTCCACCTCTTTAATCATCCAGTCTGTAGTTTAACATCTGAACGCCACATTTACAGTCAGAGCAGCTGCCAGTCACATGTTTTTATTGATTAAAACACTTTGAGGCTGAGTGTTTGCATCTCTGCTTGTGTGTGCTAATAAAGAGCTT